GTGTCGACTATTATGTACATACGAGCGAATGCATCTTTATAAGGACCAGACGTGTGCTTAGCTGTTTTGTGCGGGTGGACCGAATATTAACGAGGGACATTTCCAGAGACTTCTTACATTGACTTTCGAACATTTACTTACCGTTGTGATATGTGCGTATAAGTGTGTCTTTGCATATCTGTGCCCGAGTTTTCTATTTTTCATGTGCTGCTTTGTATGTTTTGCTTCAAGATACGTGTTCAAGTTTCAATCAACGGCTAAGGAGTAACCGGCGCCATAATGGTGCGCCAACATCTCCTTATATATTATATCTATAAAAAAATGAGAGACGTCGTAGTGGAGGGCTCCGGAAATTTCGACCACCTGGCGTTCTTTAACGTGCACCCAAATCTGAGTACACGGGCCTACAACATTTCCGCCTCCATCGGAAATGCAGCCGCCGCAGCCGGGATTTGATACTGCGACATGCGGGTCAGCAGCCGAGTACCTTAGCCACCAGACCACCGTGGCGGGGCCAGATCATTCTTAAATTTAGTGTAATTTACAAATACTCGTACACTAGAACATGATGGAATTGTCGGGCAACAAATTTCAAACCTTTTCGGTAAGTGGTCACTGTTGGTGCCACAGTACAGCGCTTTCCAAGAAGAAGTAGTAATAGCCGAACTCGCGAAACTTAAATATAAGACCGACCTGGAGTGGTTACGAATAAATGTGGGGCTTCTGGCGTTGAGGCACGTCCGGTCATTAGCCATTGTCGACTCCCACAAGCGTTTTCCACTCGAATCAGTTCTAAAACCCCAACTCGTGTGGTGAGAATTAGTCTCCAACTAAATCTTTGTCCTTACACCACGACCTTGTAGCTAGATCCAAAGTTCGTGTGTCTTGAACCCCATCTGGAAAATATATATTAACTAGGGTAAAAGGTCTGCAGTCTGGTAATGTGATCTCTACTGCCAAAATTTCGCATTCTGGCGACATATGTTTGTATGAACATTAGACTTTCATGCTAATTATATTATTAATAAAAAAAGCTAGACCATCACCTCTCGATGGACGGTGTAGTCGAAAAGGCCGGAAGTTAACTGAAACAAACTTTTTTGTGATAGCCATGTATCTTGTAATGCTCTAATATCAGAAGCAAATTTAGAAGTCAAGTATACCAAATCCGTAGATGCAGAATAAAGTGATCGGCAATTTCAATTGATAACCTTGAACGACCCTATGGTTTCGAAAGAGCTGCTTCCGCAACAGCTTTATCTAGAACACTTTATTTCAAAAAAAATATCTCTTTGAAAGGCTCTCATTTTCCTTCAGATACTTTTTGTTCTTTGTCTGTTTTGGTGAGTTAGTTTTCATTTACAGAGGAGATCTAGATCGCTTCAGTGACCTAGGATCCAAATCTATGTCATCTTAATCTATTGTATCTGCATCTTTATCTTGACTTTGGCTATAGATATCTACTGCAGAGGGTCCTGCAGACGAAAATTAAGATGGGGCAGTTTCAGATTCAACGCCATTTATTTGTTGTGCAATCTGAACATGTTGGGATACCAGGACAGACTCTCCCGGTTTACCAAATTTGCGAGTCATTTTGTAAGCCAGAATTTGAGATTGGTAATCACAAAGGTTAGAAGCCAGTCGTTCCGTGGCATTTCCTAGAGCCTTTTTTACTACCTCCGCGATATTCAGGCAAATCGACCCATTTATTTCCGAGATAAGTCGCGCTGCAACACTGGCATACCCCTGTGTTCTGGCCTGTATTTTTTCTATGGCTTCTCCTCGCCAACAGCGCCTACGCCCTATAATTTCAAGAATTTGTATTTCTCGGGCCTTATAGCTGAACAATTAGAACTATCTGCACAGTGTTGTTCGTTGCAGAGACAACATTTCTCTCCTTTACCTTCGCAGTCATTCGCTTTGTGGCTGTCACCACACACCCGGAATCTGAATGCTGACCTGCATCCTTCAATAGTGTGACCACATCGCCAGCACTTCGTACACTGGAGTGGTCGCGGTGATAGCGGTTCCACTCTGTATATTAGTGGCCACGCCTTGATTTCGCTTGGAAGATTCGCTCCAGCGAAGGTTACACAATTACAATTACCGACTCAGTCGGGATCTTCTGCTTCTCTACAATTCGTGCACGCCTATAAATGAAGATTGCACCAGTCACGGCAAACAATTTTAATACCTCAGATTGCATTGGATTGGATAAACTTTTATTATTGAATAAACTTTTATTATTGGATAAACTTTTATTATTGGATAAACTTTTTTAATACCTCAGATGGGGTCAAGTTAATATCTACGCCGCGATCAATACCTTTCACACATGCCAGATGTGGGGGAATAAAGGAGCTCACCGGAATGGTCGTGAACATCGAGCACTTTAGTAGGTCTTGAACACAGAGCTGATCAGATGAAAAACATAGAATACCGCCTCTGTCAAACCGTCGGACCTCTGTGATGCTGTGGAAGCGAGACGTATACATAGCAGCTCTAAGCTCCGCCAGGGCCACTTTCGGATTCTTCATCCGAATAAAGCCATCATTGCTTGGAACGAGAGCCACAGGAACTGCGGGGATGCCATTGCACAGAAACTGATCCACTGGTATCTCCTGTGGCGGAAGACAAGCAGACCAGAGGAAAGCCCGTGGTCCAGGTGAAGAAAACGGCATCATGAGTGCTCTTTCTAGCGCTAAAAGCACTTACTTAACTGTAAAGCACTATAAAAACGCCTAACAAAGACAATGAAACCTCAGCAACTACAAGAGCTTAGGCCGAAAGCCTAGAACAAGCATGGCCAGCTACTTGCACTGCGGACGAACGTGGAACGCTGTGCTCGTTCTGCGCGAGCGCCTTCTCTTTTTTCTTCAATCAGCGCGCTTCAATGTCCCATTATTTTTGTCATCTTTCAGGGGATATAGCACTGTCGTCTGCTACGCTCGCATTTCCCAAGCTACTACAACACGAGGGCCTTACCTCAGTTTTTTCTTCCTCCATGGAAATTACTGAAACGGCGAAGATCGCTTGTTTGGGCGACTGCGTATATGAGCGCGCCTTCGATTGAGTTCCCAAGAACGACTTTTCAAATGCATAGAAAAGCTGCCTTGAAGATGTGTTCTTCAACATGGAACGGTAATTTTGTAAATATTTCTTTATTGTCTCGTCGTGTTATTCTTGGCTGCACATCATTCACATGTGCCTTCTATTTTAAAACTCTATTCTCGCACTTATGCGCCTACGTGCGTTGCTTGTCCTTTTCTATTGACCGCGAGATCGAGCAGAGTCGCTGCCTGGCGGCAACTGGCCGAAACGGTGAAGCGTGGATTGCTCCTTGTGTTGTCTGCTAGCCATGTCATGTTTCTATGCGCGTGTAGATCATGCACGTTCTCAAAGTGGGATTTGTTCGAGGTCGTCTCAGCGCGAGTGTAACTGTTTCTACGTATGTCTGAAACGACATACGAAAATACTTGCATGGTCTTGCTTGGTTGCTAGTGCATTGTAATACGTTCGGCGAGTGCAACTTTCCAGAGTGCTGTTTATTGTCGTCGTGCCCTCTATTCACCAGGATAATTTCAGAATTTAAAGCACATCGCAAACTCTTGGAATCCTCCCAAACATGATAACTAAAAATGTGGAGTGAGATGCAGCGTTTTATATTGACTCGGTTGTAAAAAAAAGGCTCTAGGCCTTGTACTTGTGCGCTGTTGGTATAGGCGTACAACTACGGCACTATAGTTCATCGATCATGGGAGGAGCTTTTGTTGTGTTTATCTGGTCGTGATACCACTACATAGAAATGTTACTATCCCATAAACTGTGAGACTTCGGTACTTACACTGTACTTAAAACAGAGTTACTGTGCGCAACCGTGTGCTCAGATTTGAGAACGCTTCAAAGAGCCCAGACATTGAAAATTAGTTCAGATGGCATACTTTATATACAAAGTTGTATAATTTCACTGAAAATTGCATCTTCTTTACATTTTTCTCAGCGTTTGTGTCGCATGGTTAGTGACTGACGAAAAGCAGTGGTAATTTTTTGTCCTGAAAAAAAAAAACATGCTTGTCCCATTAACCATGGTTTTGTTGTAGCACTGTCATGCACGTGTTCAGCTTTCTGCTGAACTCTTAAATAAGAGTATTACTGATGCAAGAACATGTGCGTACATGTGGTAAACGCAGTGTAGCGCAGGGTGCCGTCAGCCACTATCCTTCCTGACTAGACTTATCGGCTGTCCCACGTTTCTGAATAGAATGAAAGAAAACAAAATCATATGCATATAAGGTGCGAATGGTGTACTCAACAATTCGCAGAGATATGCGAGCTTTCTGCGATCTTTCTTTCTTTTTCATGGTATGCAGATGACAAAGATGTAAATAAGTAGTTCAGTCACGCCACATCAGTGCGTAGCAGGTGGAATACATGCTAACCACGTACAAACAACACAGCAAAGGCGTGATTTAGTGTGAAAGCGTTAAGAGTGTCACCCAGGGCGAGCATTCCTATGAAAGGCAGAAATAATGCGCTTTACTCACGGGTAATGTCAGCATTGCATATGAGTCGTGCACCGATTCAGTAAATAAGATCATAGATATCAACAGTAGATTGTAGTCAAGGCAATTTACTTGCGGACAATCGGTCAGACCGTACGAAAGAAAGCGCTGCTGTGTGTATTTGTTTACGTGCCACCGACAGCCTATCCAACTTGCGTGGGGATGGTGCTGCCACCTATAGCCTGATCTCGCTGCGAATAGTTTTGCTTGTTCTGCTCCGTATATAAACCGTTTCTTCGAAGTTAGCGCTGCTTTCACGTTGTACATTTGTGTTCCCGTCCTGAGTTCTGTGTGCTATAGCTGTCAAGATGGAATACCAACTTGCTGAAGTTCAGTTTTTTTTTTCATATGATTATGCAGTTAGCGCACTAGTCACTAGGATTTATTACTTCATGTGATGCAGTTCATAAAACGTGTTTTGTAATTTGGCTATTGCAGAAAGCCAGCTGGTGCGCAAGGCGCCATCGTCTTATGCGGACGGCGTCTACATGATCGCGGAAGGGCGACCCAGTGCGCGCTCCCTTAGCCAGGAGCTGTTCAAGGGTGAAGACGGGCTTGCATCCGTCAGGAACATCACCGTACTCTTCGTTTTCTTCGGTGAGTTTTTCTCTTGCGTGCCCCATGGTACATTGACATCGCTATGGGCACACTGCGCTTGCACAGGCTGGCTGGCTGGCTGGCTGGCTGGCTGGCTGGATGGGTGGATGGGTGGGTGGATGGATGGGTGGATGGATGGATGGATGGATGGGTGGATGGGTGGATGGGTGGATGGGTGGGTGGGTGGGTGTGGCTGTACCCTTTAGATCGGGCGGCGGCTAACGCCACCTAGCCGTAATGCTTAGTGAACTAACCACTAGATTTATCTTTTTTCCCCTTTAAATGATGAAGTTGAGAACTGGTACTTTGCAGTAAAGTGTTTAATTTTCACTCGTGCCTTGACTTCAGCCACCAATCAGATAACCTTTTCTAGTTAATTCTACCCGCTATTTCTACCCGCTATTATTGTCTATTTTGCCCTCCCTGTCCCTAAGCCCCAGAGCTTTGAAAAACTCTGTGCCATCATCCTGAACGATAGGGTGAAGCCCTTTACAGAACATTATCAAATGTTTGGTAGTTTCCTCCCTCTCTACATGCACTGCATACCGTGTCTACTCCGTCGTATTTGGCCCGATATGTCTTAGTTCACAATACTCCCGTCCTAGCCTCAAACAGTAGAGAACTACCCCGAGTAGTGCCCTTTCCTTGGCAATTTCCTGCTTAAAAGTTCGATAGATCTCTAGTGCGGACTTCTTAATCATGCCAATTCTCCACATATCGGCCTCCGCATCCTTCACCTTCTTCTTAACCGACAATTCTTTTTGGTTTGGACCCCTGCCGTTTTCCAAGTATGTACCAGTCAATTTTCTGGTTCGCTTCCTCCATTAAGTAATGACATTCTTCATGTACAAGTAGCTGAAAACCTTCCTAGCCCAACGCTTCCCCCCCCCCCCCCCCATTTCTCTCAATCACTTGTCGAATTTTAACTTGCTGCTAACTTCCCTGCCCACAAATGAAGTCCATCCCATATCACATTGTACTCCCTGATTTGGTGCATTCCCGTGAGTTCCTAAAGCAAGCCTGCCTACTCCACGTTGCTTAATTTCTAATCTTGCTTGAACGTCTGACCCCATGCACAAGAGCGCATTGCCGAACGTCAGTCCAGGAACCATGACCCCTTTCCATATTCCTCTCACAACAGCATACCTATTGTAATTCCACAGTGCCCTATTTTTCATCACTGCTGCATTACTGTTACCTTTAGTCGTCACGTATATTTCGTGTTCCCTTAGGTACTTGGTCCCATTGCTTATCCATACGCCCAGATACTTGTATTTATCTGTTATCTCTAGCGTGACTTCCTGTATTCTAAGCTCACTACCTTCGTTATCATTAAAAATCATGACTGCTGATTTTTCCTTACTGAATCTAAAATCTAACCTATCTCCCTCATTACCGCAGATGTCCATCAATCTCTGCAAATCTTCTTTGTTGTCGGCCGTTAGCAATATATCATCTGCGTACATTAATGCTGGTGGTACCTGATCAATGAGTTTTCCTTGTTTGACTAAAGAGAGGTTGAAGCCAAGTCCACTTTCCTCTCATTTGGCCTCAAATCTTTCTAGGTAAATCATGAATAACAAGGGTGACAGTGATTACCCCTGCCTATGTCCCCGTTTCATCTCTGTAGGCTTGGATACCTGTTTTTCCCACTTTATAACTACCTTGTTTCTTTTATAGATTTCCTTTAAAAGATTAGTGACTCCATCTTCCACACCCAGTGTGTCTATTATTCCCCACAAGTCCTCTTCAACCACGCTATCGTACGCTCCCTTGATATCCAAAAATGCTAGCCACAAAGGCCTGAGTTCCTTTTCTGCTATTTCGATGCACTGCGTCAGTGAGAACAGATTGTCTTCCAACCTCCTGTGTTTCCGAAACCCATTCTGCAGTTCCCCCAGCACCCCCTCATCCTCTAACCATGCCTGCAGTCTTTCCTTCATAATCTGCATTGCCAGCCTGTAGACCACTGATGTCATTGTTATGGGACGTTAGCTGTTTATGTCATCTTTGTCCCCCTTTCCTTTATAAATCATGCTCATCCTGCTAAGTTTCCATCCATCAGGGACTTCACCATCGATTATACTTCTGCTCACTGCCTCTCTCAAAGTCTGTTTAGACTTCGGACCCAATGTCTTTCTCAGCACAATTGGAATACCATCTGGGCCTGTTGATGTACTACTTGGAACCCTCTTCTCAGCCCTTTCCCGCTCTCGTTGTGAAAATGGAGCTATTGTGCCACTTGATCCATCCCTGTCTATTGTGGTGCATAAAGCACTTCTTTGTTGAAATTTTTCTGTCACCCTTGATCTTATATATTCAATAGCTTTGTCCCCTTCTAGCCTAGCACCTTGAGCTGTAGTTAAAAACCTCTGCTCTAGGTTTGTTTCATTTCTTGGGGAGTTTAGATGGTTACAAAATTTCGCAGCTGCCTTTCTGTCCTTTTTATGTACTTGTGCCAGCCACTGAGCACCCTTTCTTCTAATATATTTATTGATCAGGAGGGATGCTTCCCTTCTAAAGCTTAGAAAGATTTCCCACTTTCTTTCAACATCATCTGTCGGTTCACCCCGCTGCTTAGCATGTCTGTGTTCCCTAGAGGGTTCCTGACGTTTGCTACGTCTCTCTTAACTTCCTCATCCCACCCACTTTTGGGTTTGTGTCTCCTTTTTTCGGCAGACTTGTCACCTGTCTTAGCAAGGTCTAGCTCAAACAGTCTAATTAGATTCGTGTATGTTCACACTGTTTTGGTCATCTTGTCTCCTTCCCACTTTCACTGCTCTTCCAAAACTTAGCTTGATACGTTCGCGATCACTACCCAGACTTCTGGAGCCACCTTCATGTATGTGCATTCCCCTGCGCTTATCATACATCCTATGTGACATCAGTGCGTAATCTATCGTTGACTGTATACTGACCGACTTGATCAATAACAAGTTGCTGTGTAGGCAGTTGTAATGTGCTCGGGTAGATGACACTGTCGCCTTGGGACCTAAAGGGGCACAAATATTCAAGCCACACGAAGTCTGTGAGAAAAGAAATCGACGTAAGCACAAGGGCCGAGCTAAGCCAGACGTAGGCTATATTAACATGCAGGGTGGCAGGAATAGGTTAAAGTGGGAAGCGATAGACGAGCAGTTGAGGCAGGAGGAGCCGATGGTATATGGGGTTGTGGAGACACATCTCAGGGACATGGAACAACCTCCTAACAATCCGGACTACGCGTGGGAATATTGTAATAGAACAGAAGGCAGCAGAAAGGGGGGTGGTATTGGGGCATTCATTCATAAAAGTACAGACTGGCAAAGGGTCGAGCAGGAGTGCAAGGAACATTTATAGCTAAAAGGGAAAGTGGCAGGGCAAATGACACTCCTTGGTTTCCTGTACTTGTGGACGGCTGCAAATGCCAGAGAGGAAAACCAGGCAATGGTAGAGTGTATATCAAAGGACATTCAGAAGTTAGGAGTAGAGTGCGAGATAATTATACTAGGAGATATGAATGCACACATAGAAGATATAGATGGGTATACTGACCCGACAAGAAAAATGATCATGGATGTGTGTGAAAGGCTTGATTTGATCATTTGCAACGGTACCGAGAAGTGTGAAGGGCAAATAACATGGGAGGTAGGAAGGCTGCAGTCGACGATAGATTACGCACTGATGTCACATAGGATCTATGATAAGCGCAGGGGAATGCACATACATGAAGGTGGCTCCAGAAGTCTGGGTAGTGATCACGAACGTATCAAGCTAAGTTTTGGAAGAGCAGTGAAAGTGGGAAGGAGACAAGATGAGCAAAACAGTGTGAACATACACGAATCTAATTAGACTGTTTGAGCTAGAGCTTGCTAAGACAGGTGACAAGTCTGCCAGAAAAAGAAGACACAAACCCAAAAGTTGGTGGGATGAGGAAGTTAAGAGAGCCGTAGCAAAACGTCAGGAAGCCTCTAGGTAACACAGACATGCTAAGCCGCGGTGTCAACAGACAGATGATGTTGAAAGAAAATGGGAAATCTTTCTAAGCTGCAGAAGATATGCATCCCTTCTGATCAATGAAAAGGTTAGAAGAAAGGGAGCTCAGTGGCTGGCAGAAGTACATAAAAAAGATAGAAAGGCAGCTGCGAAATTTTTGAACCATCTAAACTCCCTAAAAAGTGGGATGAGCCTAGAGCGGAGGTTTATAACTACAGCTCATGGTGCTAGGCTAAAAGGGGACGAAGCTATTGAATATATAAAAACAAGGGTGACAGAAAATTTTCAACAAAGAATTGATTTATGCACCACAATAAACAAGGATGAATCAAGTGGCGCAAAGGCTCCATTTTCACAACAAGAGTGCCAAAAGGCTGAGAACAAGGTTCCTAGAGTACATCAACAGTCTCAGAGGGCATTCCAATTATTCTGATAAAGATATTGGGTCCGAAGTCTAAGCAGACTTTGAGAGAGGCAGTGAGCAAACTAATAATCGATAGTGAAGTCCCCGATGAATGGAAACTTACCAGGATGAGCATGATCTATAAAGGAAAGAGGGACAAAGCTGACATACACAACTACCGTCCTATAACAGCGACATCAGTGGTCTACAGGCTGGCGATACAGATTATAAAGGAAAGACTGCAGGCATGAATAGAGGATGAGGGGACGCTGGGGAACTGCAGATTGGATTTCGGAAACACAGGAGGTTGGAAGACGATGTGTTCTCACTGACGCAGTGCATCGAGATAGCAGAAAAGGAACACAGGCTACTGTGGCTAGCATTTTTGGATATCGAGGGAGCGTGTGATAGCGTGGTTCAAGAGGAATTGTGGGGAATACTGGACACACTAGGCGTGAGAGATGTGGTCACTAATATTTTAAAGGATATCTTTAAAGGTAACAAGGTAATTATAAAGTGGGAAAAACTGGCATCCAAGCCTGCAGAGAATAAAAGTGGACTTAGGCAGGAGTGTCCCCTCTCACCCTTATTATTCATGATGTACCTACAAGAATTAGAGGCC